AGCTACTTGGGAGGCGGAGGCAGGAGGCTCGCTTGAGCCCAGGAGTTGGAGGTTGCTGTGAGCTGTAATGCCACGGCACTCTACCCAGGGGGACAGCTTGAGGCTCTGTCTCCAAAAAAAATAAATAAATAAAATAAAATAAAATAAGAAAAATACATGTGAGAGTCTGTAGCTCTGATGCTTGTGTGAGGGGATTTTATTGGCTTACCCAATTCTGATGCTCCAAGTCATTTTGCCTGTGGCACCTGTGGCTCTCGGGTGATTTTTACAGCTCACATCCTGATTTTGGCACTGGGATGTGCACAAGTAGAGGACACACATATCACTTAATGTAGTAAAGTAAAAAAAGGAAAAATGCTGAAGCCTTTGCTCTGCAGAGGAAAGGGTTGAAAGATCTAGCAGAGTCTGATAAGGATCCAGAGAAGAGTGACCTCTGACCCTTCCCACCTCGTTTTCTCCCTTCTGCACCTTAATCCGTTCCGCTGTGGCTCAGTTCTTACAATGTGGTATTTTCCCAGAGGACACAATCTCGACAGGTTTTTAGAGATCTCGTAGTAACTCATGAGACACGTTTGCCTCCAGTATGAGGAGGGTAAAAAATCTCAGAGGGGAAGGCAGTGGAGGTGAGAGGAATGTCATGTCCTTGCTACAGGGAAGTTCAGTCTGCTTAAGAAGAGCCAGAGGTGGCGTCTGAGATGACCTTAAATGACCAAAATACAAAAATGTGATGTCTAGGAAGGGCTTGGAAGGTCATTTCAGGTGGCATGAAGGGCCTGAGCAGTGTCATAGATGCTGGTGCCTCACAGCTGGGGAGTGTGGATGTCCTCAGCTAGGCTGCACAGCTAGTTACGGCAATTACGGCTTCACTGCATGTAAGAAGCCTGCACTGTCTGGTAGGAGCAAAAGGAACATTGTTTTGAGAATAGTGGGCAGCTCCCACAATTGCCCTAAAGTGAGTAAGCCAGGGTTGGAGAACAGAGGTCAGGGAGAGTTTGTTGTGTAAATCACAGCAAAAAAGTGTAAGGTCTGGTCTTGGGAACATGGCTCCCCCAACCCCACATAAAAACCAGCACAGATGCAGGGCTGCGTCTCAGTGCCAGATGCCAGTGCTTTGGCTGCCATTTAGGATCCTCCATCCCTGTGCCCAGGGCAGCTGGATTCTGACCAAGAGTCCAGAGTCCTTAACTGGTCATGACATGAACTCCAGCCACAGGACAAGGAACACCTGACACTTTCTGCATCTTGGGGGCGGCTCACTGGAGCCCATAGTCCCAGTATCAAAAGGGGGGTTGGGTTCTAGGAGCCAGGACAAAAGCATCTTTCTTGCACAAAAGTGCATACCACCTTCTTGTACTTGATCTTATGAAGAACCTTCACAAACTTCCGTGCTTATCTATATGCAGCAAATACCCTACTTTCTCCTGAAGGTCATATCCAGAGTCCTGCCACTACACCATCTCTAGATCCTAAGTCTTGGGAGCATCTCTTTCCAGGCACTCGGACTGTCTGGATTGCCTATAGCTGTGGACTCGATCCAAAAGTTAACTGCTGGCTCGGCACCTGTGGCTCAAGTGGCTAAGGCACCAGCCACATACACCTAAGGTGGCGGGTTCGAATCCAGCCCGGGCCTGCCAAAGAACAATGACGGCTGCAACCAAAAAATAGCCGGGCGTTGTGGCAGGCACCTGTGGTCCCAGCTACTTGGGAGGCTGAGGCAGGAGACTCACTTGAGCCCAGAAGTCGGAGGTTGCTGTGAGCTGTGATGCCACGGGACTCTACCCAGGGGGACAGCTTGAGGCTCTGTCTCCAAAAAAAAAAAAAAGTTAACTGCTGTGTACACACCGTCGGGGGGGTGGGGGCATCATCTAGCATGTGGGAGAAGAATTGATCCAGTTGACAGTGAGACCAGCACTAGAATTAGTGATTCCCCTTCTGCCTGTTCCCAACTCTCCAAGTTCAGCAGCCCTGCAATTGGGTCCCCCTGTCCTGTGCCTCCCACTTGTGCACTCTCTGGTGACGTGGCTGTGCAATGGGCACTCCTGCCTGTGCATAACAGCCGCCATTCAGCCTGTGCTGCAGGACCCCCTGCACTCACTGGCTCTGCATAGCTCACTTTTGCTGTTAACCAAGGTGGCATGAGAAGCCCAGAATGGCCAAGTGACCATCATGGCTTCCAAAGAGTAGACCAGGTCTGCCGAGAGGGAGGCCTTGGGTGCCAAAACCACAAAAGCGGTAGAGTCAGGATCATAGGAGTGGGGCACCCACCCTCCTCCACCCTCTTCCACCCCTGGTTTCTGAGCCTCACAGTCTGGCTATGGGCAGCCAGCACCCTGAGGGACTAATTCGGAGATGAGGCTGCAGCCACCGGGGCCTCAGGAGGGATCAGGCCCCTTGGAGGTCCTTTAGCAGGATGCCCCACTGTCCTTGAAGCTGCTGCTCCAGGGCTGTGGTGTTCACAGTAAAGGTCATATATTCTCGGGCCTCAGGCCATGGCTGTACTTGGTTCTCTGTGATCTAATTTCCTGGCCAGAGCAGTGATGTGGGCTGCTGTGATATGCAGAAGACACATCTGGAATGAGCCACTGTCCCCGAAAACCATGTTGATCACTCCTGTGACCACTCAGCAAGGCACAAGCTGTTGGGATAGTCCCTAGAGGGGCTGTTCTCTACTGCTGGTGGGCTGTGTGCCCACCAGGGTGAGGTGGCTCCTTTGGCCAATCCAGTGCCCAGTGCTGACCCCTGCCTCCAGGCCATGTCCATGCTGCCCTCTGGTGTTTCTCATCTTATCTGGTCCTTGTATTGCTACTTCCCATTTTCCATGTAGTTTGTTCCTTCAGGTAGTCCTGTCAGTGTCCAGGGTCCTCGGCTACCTGCACTGACCCTACTCCTATTTCTTTGCATGCTTGGTGACCTCTGGTCAGAGATTTGTCTTTGTTTCTCTTGATCTGTGGAGAACTTAGGGACCTGAGCAGAGCCTGTCTCCTCAGGAGAAGTGGGGCTCCTGCTGAGAGTGAGAGGGCCTTGCACACCAGTGAACCTGCCAGCTGCAGGTTTATCCAGACCAGTGGGCTCAGCTCACAGCTCAGGACAACCTTTTTGGGTGTCAGCCCTGGCCCTCAAGAAACCACCTACCTTAGTCACCTGGAAAAGAATTTGAGCTCTTTTTTTAGCTCAAAGTTTTCCTTCTAATTTTTTATCTCATATTTTCTGAAAATTTTCCTTTCTTTCCTGCTTGAACATTAGAGAACTTGTATTTTAGGCTGGAGGCTTCCCAGGGTAGCTGGTCCCCTGCACCACCAGGAGGGCTTTCACAAGGACCTTTCTACCATGGCTCTGCTGTAGCAGCGCCTGTGTATGTAATTTAATGGCATAACCATTTGATCCTTTTCAGCTAATTTTGCAGATACCAAATTCAGCTCAAAGCTGAAGAATGAACTTTTCATGATGTGTTGCTGGATGTAGATAAAAGATCATTCCAAGAAATCTAATGTTATGAAAGTTAAATAATTTGTTTCTTTTTTAGATTCATGAAGAAGACGTAACTCTCAAACTAAATCCAGAATTTGAACAAGCATATAACTTTGAACCTATGGATGTGGAATTTACATATAACAGGTAATGCTTTCCCCAGGTCTTGATTCAGTTGTTTCTTCACTTGATCAGGCAGCCCCTCAGGTCAAGGTGATGGCTGGCATCTTATCTTGGTGGTGTAGGGGGTGCCCACAGGGCCTATGGCTGTGTGGAGGGGCTGGGCTCCATCTGCCAGTTTTACATACACATGTGAACAGCATTGTTTCCAAGTAGCTCTTGAGATGTGAAGGTGTGTACATTTGCGCTCATTCTTATTTGGACCATGCATGCACCAGATCCTTGGCTCATGCCACACCTTCCCTGTCAACTGCTGGCTCCCTGGCCTTGTTCATATTGTGGCTGAGAGAGTTGCTGCTTCCTCACCCAGCTGCCCTTCCTCCACAGGAGACCTAATTTTTTATTTATTTATTTATTTTTGAGACAGAGTCTCACTATGTCACCCTGAGTAGAGTGCAGTGCTATGGCATCACAGCTCACAGCAACCTCTAACTCTCAGGATTAAGCAGTTCTTTTGCCGGCAGCCTCCCAAGTAGCTGGCACTACAGGTACCAACCACAGCGCCTGGCTGTTGTTGTTGTTGTTGTTGTTGCAATTGTCATTGTTTAGCTGGCCTGGGCCGGATTCGAACCTGCCAGCCTCAGTGCATATGGCTGGCACTGTGACCACTGTGCTACGTACGGGCACTGAGCCAGGGGAGCCCCAGTTTTGAAAGAAAAATTCTTTCCCTTAACTTTTTAAAGAAATAGTTTGTATCTGTGTATACATACACACGAGAAATGTAGCCTTTAGTTTTAATCATTTTGAACTTTATAAAAGGAATAGGTTGCTGCATGTACTTCATACAGGTTGCATTTTTTACTAAACATTGTCACTGATATTTCTCCATACTGCTGCCTATAACTTGTGCTCATTTGTTTTTGGCACTGCATTTATGCTCTTGTATGAATATTCCCTCCCTATATCTGTTTTTCTATTGTGTACTTTTTTTTTGTTTTTTGAGACAGAGTCTCACTTTGTCACCCTCGGTAGAGTGCTGTGGCATCATAGCTCACAGCAACCTCAAACTCTTGGGCTCAAATGATTCTCTTGCCCCAGCCTCCGAAGTAGCTGGGACTGTAGGCTCCCACCACAACGCCTGGCTATTTCTAGAGATGGGGATCTGGCTCTAGCTCAAGCTAGTCTCAAACTCATAAGCTCAGACAATCTACTGGACTCGGCCTCCCAGAGTACTAGGATTACAGGCATGAACCACCATGCTTGGCCTCATCATGAACATTTTCGTTGTATGTTTGTTGTGCTCAGAAACAAACTGCTATGTATTTGGGGTGGAGTTGCTGGGTGGGAGGTGGGAGGTGTGGGTCTCATCACGGTCTTGATTCACACATCTGACTGCTTGTAAGGCTGGGAATTGCCATGTTTCTTAGTTACGGAGTGTTTGTTCATCTTCTGTGAACTGCTCATGTCTTTTGTGCTCTTTTTTATTGATTAACTTACCTAATTTTTATTATTTGTAGGAGTCCTTTCTGTATCCTTTGACTGTCTGTAAAATGTCCTCTAATAGGCATTAATTTTAATGTAGTCAAATTTATTGATTTTTTTTTTTTGAGACAGAGTCTCACTATGTCGCCCTCAGTAGAGTGCTGTAGCATCACAGCTCACAGCAACCTCCAACTCTTGGGCTTAAGCGCTTCTCTTGCCTCATCCTCCCAAGTAACTGGGACTACAGGCACCCACCACAATGCCCAGCTGTTGTCTTGTTGCAGTTTTCGTTGATGTTTAGCTGGCCTGGGCTGGGTTCAAACCCACCAGCCTCAGTGTATGTGGCTGACACTGTAACCATTGTGTTATGGGCACAGAGCCAAATTTATTGATTTTTGTTGTTGTTGTTATAATAGTGCTTTTCCTATCTGTCAGAGAAGTCATCCAGTATCTGGGCTGTAGCCAGATTAGAATGTGTTATGAACAGACTGGAGAAATGAAGAGTCATAGTTGGTTTCTTTTTGGGGTGTTCGGCCACGAAAGCAGGGAGGGTAGGATGAAGAGAGAGATGTTTGTTGATTATGGAAGAGACACCTGAGGCCCAGGATATGCTGCTCAAGGTGAGAGGCATAAAAAGTGTGGACACCAACTCCACAGCTTCTGTGGCTGGGGCTGAGTGCTTGGTGAGCTGGTGGGCTCTGGACCACGCTGAAGGGCAGCCTTTGGAGGAGGCATGTGGCCTCAGTCATGGTGGGCAGAGCTTGCAGCTGTTTTGTGGACCCATCTTTCTAATGACCCGTTTTTACTCTAGAATGTGAAGCCATTCCAGTAGGTACATAGTGATATTTCGTTATGGTTTTAATTTGTATTTCTCTGGTGACAATATGGAACATCTTTCTGTGTGCTCTTTTGCCATTGTATGTAATCTTTGTTGACCTCAACTGAAATGATTCAAAAATCTCAATGGACACTTGTTAAGCCAAGATTTGGGAAAAACACGAACCACAGACAAGCCGTGGCTGTTCTTCCAAGGGGAATGTTGGAACCATCAGCATTTCAAAGGCAACAGGGGATGGGGAGAGTGGCAGCTTATGAGACAAAGTAGCTATATTCTTGTGAGATCCAAGAAATCTACAGTTTACATATGGGAGTGAAAAAGTTAACTACATCCATCTCCAGTTCTAGTAGCTGTAAGATGAACTCGTAATTCATTAACAGTTTTAGGTGCCGGACATAGGTACAGTTTCGTGTCCTTGCTTATTTCCTTGATTTGTCCGTTTCATCCAAGTTGTCTAATTTACTTGCATAAAGATATTCATACTGTTACTTTATTATCCTTTTAATATCTACAGTGATGTCACATTTCTTGTCCCTTATATTGGCAATTTGTGTCATTTCCCCTCATCAGCCTGGCTTGAGGTCTGTCAGTTTTATTTGCCTTATCAAAGAACCCACCCCTGGCTTTATGGGTGTTCTCTGGTGTCTTCCTTCTCTCTGTTTCACTGATTGTTGTTCTCATTTTTATTATTTCTCCTGCTTTTTTTGTTTTGTTTGCTCTTCTTTTTCTCGCTTCTAATGGTGGAAGTCAAGGTCACTGATGTGAGGCTCTTCCTTCCTGGCACAGGTGTTCAGTGCTGGATGGAGTTGTCTTGTCAGATGCATCATAAGCTGCTCAGCCAGCAATTATTACTGGGCACAGAGGCTCCCAGATTTTTACTATTACAGCAAAGCAATATTCTTACATCTTTGTGCAATGATATTAAAATATAAGGAGAATTGTCATCTTGCAATATTAAGTCTTTGTCTTGAACAGCAGTTTGTACTCTGGAAAATTCTTTCACCATGTGTCTTTCTCTTTCTGCTCCTCCTCCAGGGTTCTGCTTACTGCCCTCTTGGTCCCCTGGTCTGTTTTATCTTTCATGGCTTTCTGTCTCTTTGTGGCTTTGTCTTTTTGTTTGTTTGAGACAGGGTTGCACTCTGTGGCCCTGGAAACACAGTCACAGCTCGCAATGGCCTCTGGCTCCTGGGCTCAGGAGATCTTCTTGCCTCAGTCTCCTGAACAGCTGGACCACAAGAGCCACCATGCCTGGCTCAAAATTGCTTTTCGGCTGACACAGTAATTTCAATATTTCCTTCGCGCTCTGTAGGCTGTATTTTCTTTGTGTGTTTTAGTTCACTTTCTCTGTTAGAATAGAAATATTCTCAGAAAGGGAGGAGTTCCTGCTGTCCTGATCTGTAGGATATTTCTATTTAAAGGTTTTTAATAAAACTTCTAATTTTTGTGTTTTGTTTAGACACTTGGAGTACAGTAACCCCTCAGTCCCTCAGATGTAAGTTTTTAGTGGTGCCTTTGAGACCTTATAAGACCTGATCTCTAATTCAGTCCTCATTTATAAGTATTCTATAGAGGTTACTTTAGTATATTGATTTAAAGATTATGTAATCAAATTTCTGTGACTTATACTAGCCATAATAGTTCTAAACTTAAGGTTATTTTATGTTTTATTTCTGGCAGGACCACAAGCAGACGGTGCCACTTTGCACTTGAACAAGTCATCCACTTAGGTGTAAAAGGTATTATTTTTATAGAGTGATAATATTACATCTTCCCAGAGTATTTTTATAGGCTTTATGTAAAGTTTTGTATAAAACAGCTTCTTTAATCATAATATGAAAGGTAAAATATACAGTAGTATTTTTTAAATTATCTGTTGGGGAATTTCAGTATTACCTTGTTGTATCAACTTACTAAGCAACTAAAAATAGCATGGTTAAAGAACTGAAAACAAATTCATGGTGTTTGTAGCTTTGTTGGAAAGAAAATGCAGCACTCAGTATAATTCTGTAGTTTAAGAATAGTACAAAGTAGGGGTCCAGAAAGGAATGAACAGAATATGAATTACTTTAGGTCCATTCATAAGCATTTATGTCTGAGCTTTTCAGTAAGATCTATACTCTTACCTTTTCCTGTTTTAAAAGTATTGTTTCCAGAAGAAATCATTTTACAGTCTCCCCAAGTGACAGGGAATTGGAACCATGCACAAGACATCAAAAATGATGGACAGTCTACCACCAAGGTAATGGTTTGATAACTTTCATATATTTAATAGACAGTAACATAAACTCACTACTAGATACATGAGCTCTCATATTTTTTTTTCCTGAGACACAGTATTACTATGTCGCCCTTGGTGGAGTGCTAAGGCATCACAGCTCACAGCAACCTCAGACTCTTTTGAGCTTAAGTAACTGGGACTACAAGTGCCTGCCACAACGCCTGGCTATTTTGTTGTTGTTGCAGTTGTCAGTTAATGTTTAGCTGGCCGGATGGGGCGGGGGGGTGGGTGGGTTCCAACCTGCTACCCTCAGTGCATGTGGTCAGTGCCATAACCACTATGCTGTGGGTGCCGCCCCCATGAGTTGTCATTTGACTGAAGTATTAGAACAGTGATTTTTTTTTTCTTTTTGTTTTGAGACAGTCTCAGGCTGTCACCCTTGGTAGAGTGCTGTGGTATCACAGCTCACAGCAACCTCAAACTCTTGGGCTTAAGCAATTCTCTTGCCTCAGCCTCCTAAGTAGCTAGGACTACAGGTACCCACCACAATGCCCAGCTATTTTTTAGTTGTAGTTGTCATTTGGCAGGCCCAGGCTGGATTTGAACCCGCCACCTCTGGTGTATGTGGCTGATGCCCTAGCCACTGAGCTACAGGCGCCAAGACTAGAACAGTGATTTTTAACTAGTGTGCCTCAAAAGATTGGTTTGGCGCCTGTGGCTCAAGCAGCTAAGGTGCCAGCCACATACACCTGAGTTGGGGGTTCAAATCTAGCCTGGACCCACCAAACAACAATGATGATGGCTGCAACCAGAAAATAGCTGGGCATTGTGGTGGGCGCCTGTAGTCCCAGCTACTTGGGAGGTAGAGCCCAGGAGTTAACGGTTGCTGTGAGCTGTGATGCCACAGCACTCTACCCAGGGCGATAGCTTGAGGCTCTGTCTCAAAAAAAAAATTTTTTTTTAAAGATCATTAATTATTTTTGAAAGAAGTTCAAAGCACAATAAATATATTCTTTTGTTTTACTCTTTTTTGTTTGTTTTGATCAACATAAGTGTGCCATGGAAGTTTAGGTTCAATTGTACTACAAAGTAAGAAAGGTTGAAAATCACTGTTAGACGAATGTAGTTCACAACCCAAAATCCTAGATAAAATATAACTAAAATATTCATAAGATAGATTTAGTGGTAAAGTCTATGTCATTATATGTAGTGCTAAGATGGCTGTAATGTATTCAGTAGGGGAAAAGCAAGACAAAGGTGTTTGTATGATCTCACAGTTTTATTTAAAAATTACATATTTTTATGTACAGAAAAGTACATTTATGTGACTGAGTATACAGAGAAAATGGGAGGAAACACCCAGCAAACTGATGACATTCACAACCTCTGTGCCTGCTGCAGACAGGTGTTTTACTCTTCCACAGCCCATCGCTCCATCAGTTGTGAAGTGCCTGTCACAGGCTATGGATGATCTCAGACACTCTCTACACTTCTGTGAAATAGAAGTGGTTTTATGTACGATCATGTTTCTACTAACAAGAGAAATCATTTATGCCGTGGTGAAGCTTATAACTTATAGTTCTATACTGTTGTAATTTGATTTTGTGAACATGTATAATAATGGAAAATTTTAAATTATATCTGATATTTAGAAATTCTTTTACCATTTATAGCACCTCTCCCAGAATGCAAAAATGATAACTTTGAATGCAGTCGTAAAAAATATACATAAATGAAAGGGCAGACATCTATGAAAATCATCTGTGTGTGTTTTATATTTGATCTATTTTGCTCTGAAAATAGAAAGGGGTCTTCACTGGCACATACGCAGGGCCATCCGCAATGCCCCCCCTCCCTCTGCCACCTGGGTGCTGGTCCACCCCACTCCCTGATACTCAGGGAGTGTTTGGGGCAGGGGAATTGCCATTTAGGTGGGCATTTTGTGTCAGTTGGCTAAATCTTAACATTTTAAAATGTAGAATGTTATCTTATGGATTAGCTAGGCTGAGGGGGGATGAAAGAGCATTCCACACATCAGCCAGGATGGAATTACAGGGGCTAGATGTACTTCCTACCTGAAAGAACTAAAAACCAGACAGAATCTATAAAACAGGCTGAGGAAGTACACTACCCTCTGTAGCCTGCTACAGATCTGGAGCCTGCTGGAGCTTCTAGTGCCTTGAAGGCCTGCATGAGACAGATAGGCCAGGCACTCCCCATCCCTGCTAGTAAGAGAAATCTCCTCTGGCCTCACTGCCTTGATCTGGGATATCAGTCTTTTCCTGCCTCTGGACTCTAACTGAAATATCTGGTCTTCTTGGGTCTTGAGCCTGCTGGCTCAGACTGTAACTTATACCACTGGCCCTCCTGGGTCGCCAGCTTACTGAGGGAGCTCCTCCAGCCTCCACAATGGCATGAACCTATTTTTTGTAATTTCTCTCTCCCCACCCCATACATACTGTGATTCTATTGGTTCTGTTTCTCTGGAGAACCCTGACTAATACAGCAGTTATGAACAACTTTGTGCTAGTAAAGACAACGAATTATATAAAATGAACATATTTGTTGAAAGACAAATTACCAAAGCTCACTCAGTAAGAATTTAAAAATTGACTTCATGAAATTGGACTTATAGTTAAAAAACATTACCCACAAAAATTCCTTGCCTGTTTTCTTGCCTGGATAACTTCACTGGTAAATTCTGTCAGATATTTCCGGAAGAAATAAAACCAATTATGCGCAATCAGTTCGACTGAAGGAAATCTAATTCCAAAGTCATTTTATGGCACTACACCAATACCAAAACATCTCCGCAAAGACAAGAAAGTAAAACTGCCTACCAGCATCATTCATGAACATATACCAAGAAGGGTTTTTCCTGGGAATGAAAAGCTGATTTAATAATCCATGTCAGGCATCACATTAACAAACTAAAAAGAAAAAATTGCATAATTATTTCAGTAGGTACAGGAAAACCATCTGACAAAATCTAACTTACATTCAGCAATTATAAATAGAAAAGAACTGCCTTTGCCTATAAAAAAACCCACTCAGTGGTAAGTAAGTAAATGCTTTCTCCTTGTGAGATCAGAATCAACGCACATCCTTTCAACATTTCCGTTTAACATTGCGTGTTGTAGACCAGCAACCAGACAAAAAGAAAAGATGTCCACATCATCTTGGGGATCAGAAGGAACACAGAGTGAAGCTGTCAGAGCAAAGAACTGATGTTGGCAAGGCTGCAAGATACAGATCAATATATAAAAATAAATCATATATCTATGTATGTCCAATAAAATATTAAGAAATTGAATTTTCAGCTCGGCACCTATAGCTCAACCGGCTAAGGCGCCAGCCACGTACACCTAAGGTGGTGGGTTCAAATCCCCAGCCCGGACCCGCCAAACAACAATGAC